TCTTGCTATACAGGTGAGAAACACCATCCTTCGCTGCAGCTCTCCTCTCTTCCTCCCATGCCTCCTCCTCTCTTCCTTCTGACCTTCCTTCCCTTCCTTCCTTCTCTTCCCCCCCCCCCCCCCCCGTCTTCCTTTCTTCTTCTTTTTTGACAGGGTCTCATGTAGGTAGCCTAGGCTGACTTGGAACCCTAGGTAGCTGAGGACCACCTTAAGCTTCTTGATCCCCCTGCCTCAGCATCCCAAGTGTTAGGAACGTAAGTGTGTCTCACTACGTTCAGCCTCCTGCAGGTTCTGTTTTGGACCCCATCTGTCCCCACCCCTGTGTGAAAGAGGCCGGGGCCCTCCCACTCCCTGTCTGTGCAGGAGTTCCCAGGCCCTTACCTGTCGCTCCTGTACCCAAGCCTTCGCGGAGGCGAAGGTGGCCAGCTGGGCAGCTGAACCCACTGTGACTCGGAGCACAGCCCCACCCACACCCCGCCACAGCCCTAGTAGGCCCTGCTGGCGCCAGATGGTCTCCAAGGCACCCAGGACACTCTGCAGGGAAGAGAGGGTATGGGTCACTAGACAGCCCCAGTCCCTGCACAGCCGGGAGCCCCCGGGGTTCTGGGGAAGATGTTTTACCTGATGCTGGTGCTGGTACCCCACGGCCATAACAGCCACAGTCTGGGCCTGCAGCTGGGTCTTGACCTGGGAGTTCAGAGCAGATGGGGGGCTTTAGGCTAGAGACTGGGAAATGAGCTGGGCATGTCTGAGCCCCTTTCCTGCACGGTATCCCTGACTCCACATCTGAAGCTTGGGGGCAGTCTCGGTCGGCTTGAGTTCATTTATTATTTATTTTTGGTCCTTTTTTTGAGACAGGGTTTTACTGTGTAGCCCTGGCTGTCCTGGAACTCACTCTGTAGACCAGGCTGGCCTCAAACTTACAGAGATCCACCTGCCTCTGATTCTGAGTGCTGGGAATAAAGGCATTCGCCACCATCCACCATCTCCTGGCCACTTTTTTTTTTTTTTGGTTTTTCGAGACAGGGTTTCTCTGTGTAGTTTTGCGCCTTTCCTGGAACTCACTTGGTAGTCCAGGCTGGCCTCGAACTCACAGAGATCCGCCTGGCTCTGCCTCCCGAGTGCTGGGATTAAAGGCGTGCGCCACCACCGCCCGGCTTCCTGGCCACTTTTTTATTTTTAAATTTGAGACTGTGTCTCATGTAGTCCAGGCTGGCCTCAAATTAGTTATGTCACCATGACCTTAAGTCTGATTTTCCTGTCTCCCCCTCCTAAATGCTAGGATTATGGGTAGTTAGGTGTTGCCACATCTAGCTAAGGTGCTTGGGAACAAACCCAGGATTAGGCAAACAGTACCAAGTGAGCCACATCCTGAGCCTGCCTTTGTATCTTGGTAGGTCAAGAGTTTTTTGTTTGTTTGTTTGGTTGGTTGGTTTGGTTTTGTTTTTTCAAGACAGGGAAGGTTTCTCTGTGTAGCCCTGGCTGTCCTGGAACTCATTCTATAGAGCAGACTGGCCTTGAACTCATAGAGATCCACCTGCCTCTGCCTCCCCAGTGCTGGGATTAAAGGCATGTGCCACCACCAATGGCTTCAAGTTTCTTAAGTAGATCTTTGGGCCTCTGTCCTGCCACTCACAAGGACAGAGCACTTCAGTGGCCAGACCAGGACACAGCAACTCATAATCAGCTGTGGCTTTTATCCCCACCATATACCTGGCTATCCAGGAGTGACCACAGGCAAATGACAACTATAGTCTACCTACTTCATAACCTGCTCCCTCTCCTGGCTAAGACCAGTGGGCGTGGACGCCAAAAGAGCAAGGATCAGAGCAAGGGCAGATTCCAGATCTGAACCAGATATTCCCAGGGAACAGTCCCCTCCTAACCTGCCCCGCCCAACCCAGGGCCACAGAGTCTACTGGTCACGTTGGTCATGTTGGAGTGGTAAAGGAAGAAGACACTCACCAGGTAAGCAGGACTTCCCACAAAGGCTCCCAATGCCCCAGCCACAGCACCTGCGACCACAGTACCACCCGGTTGCTGGGTGAGGCCAGCCTGGCATGCCAGGCTGTAGCAGTAGAAACGGACACCATTCATGAGGCCCTGGTAGAGAAGGCCAGCGGCCAGCCCCTTCTGCAGGCCCCACAGCCCATCTGCCCGGGCGATGGCTGCGACAGAAGACACGAAGCCCCGGTAGGGCCGTGGGTAGGTGCCCGGGGCCTGCAGTTCACCCTGTAGCTGTAGACGGGTCTTTACCACCTCCAGGGGATTGGTGAATACACAGGCCAGGCAGCAGGCTGAGGCACCCAGCACCAGGTCCACCGCCGGAGACACCACATCCCCTGCGTCCACGGCAGGAGCCATCTGTGTCTGGATCAGGGCCACAGCACTGGCCATAGGTGGCCGGGTCTAGGCTGTCTGCACCCGTGTGTGGCCACGGGGCTGGGGACCATGGGGGCCCAGTGCCATGTCTAGAGGACAGATCTTGTCAGGGACTGGAGGCCCCTGGTCTGTCTTGGAACTGCACCTGCTGTTAGCAGACTGGGGCTGTGGGAGTCTGGACACACCTCCTCCGGCTCGGGCCAATCCCAGCTGCTGCTGGCCAGGCAGGCCTGGCCCCTGGGATCTGGAGGAAAGGTCACTCGGGACTGGAAGGAGAGTGGGGCAGGAAGAAAGAGCCTAACTAGGGGAGGGCACTCCTCCTTGTCCTCTAGACTTCCTGTCCCGTCTCTAGTCCCAGTTTGGCAGCAGCTAAAGCTCTGGGCATGTAGTGACTTGGCTCTAGACACAGGCTACCTGGGCTGACTAGCAACTGTCCCATTTCTACATCTGCCACAGCCTGAGCGACTTCCTCCTCTTTCCTGGCCTCAGTCTTCCAATCTGGTTCCCTCAGATTATAGCTCCATTTTCTTTCTCTTTTCTTTCTTTCTTTTCTTTCTTTCTTTCTTTCTTTCTTTCTTTCTTTCTTTCTTTCTTTCTTTCTTTCTTTCTTTCTCTCTCTTTCTTTCTCTCTTTCTCTTTCTCCTTCCTTCCTTCCTTCTCTCTAAATTTCACTTAATTTTTGGGTTTTTTGAGACAAGATCTCTCTATGTAACCTTTGCTGGCTTGACACTAGCTATGTAGACCAGAGTGGGCTCAAAATCAGACATTCACCTGCCTTTGCCTCTGCCTCCTAGTGCTGGAATTAAAGTTGTGGACCACCATGCCCAGCTTTTTAGTTCCTTCCCTGCCCCCTTTTTTTTGAGCCAGGATTTCTCCATGTAGCCCTGGCTGTCCTAGAACTTACTCTGCCTCTGCCTTCCAAGCGCTGGGATTAAAGATGTGCACCACCACTGCCCAGCTTTTCTAGTTCCTTTTCAACAATGGGAGTGTGAAGGAGGACCCCAGAGCCCTATTAGTGAGGTGATTTTGTTTCATGTGAGGCGGTGTCTCATTTCCAGACTGGCTGGGACTCAGTGTGCAGCCCAGGCCACCTTCAAACTCATGCCAATCTCCAGCTGCCTCTGCCCCCTGCGTGCTGACAGTACAAGCATGCATGTCCATGCCTACTGTCATTTATTATTATATTTTTATGTATATGGGTGTTTGGCCTGCATGTATGTCTGTGTGTGCCTGGTGTCCATGGAAGCCAGAGAGAGTGTTGTACCCTCTGACTGGAGTTACACATGGTTGTGAGCTATCATGTGGGTGGGTGCTGGGAATCAAATCCAGATCCTCTGGAAGAGCTCTAACCAATGAACAATTTCTCCAACCCCTGGAACTATGTAGACCAGGCTGGCCAGGGACTCACAGAGATCCACTTGCCTCTGCCTCTTTTTTTTTTTTTTTTTTGGTTTTTCGAGACAGGGTTTCTCTGTGTAGCTTTGCGCCTTTCCTGGAACTCGCTTTGGAGACCAGGCTGGCCTCGAACTCACAGAGATCCGCCTGGCTCTGCCTCCCGAGTGCTGGGATTAAAGGTGTGCGCCACCACTGCCCGGCTTGCCTCTGCCTCTTGAGTGCTTGTGTTAAAGGTGTATGACACCATGCCCTGCAAACCCCATTAATGTCAATGCATGTGTGTGTGTGTGTGTGTGTGTGTGTGTGTGTGTGTGGTGTGTGTGTGTGTATGTATGTATTGGACAGGGTCTTACCATATAGCTTAGGCTATCCTGTACGTGTGTGTGTGTGTGTGTGTGTGTATGTGTGTGTGTGTGTGTGTGTGTGTGTGTGTGTGTGTGTATGTATTGGACAGGGTCTTACCATATAGCTTAGGCTATCCTGTACGTGTGCATGTGTGTGTGTGTGTATACGGGGATACACACAGGACACAGATGTGTATAGAAGTCAGAGGACAACTTTGGGGGCCATTACTAAATAAAAAAGGGTAACTTGAACACAAATCCTGCTAAGTGACTAATGGTGAACACGACACAGACACTCTGGACCTTGGGATGAGTCACATCTGTTGGTCCGATTGCACACTACTCAAACCAATGCACATATTTACAACTGTTTGTTTCCAGAACTTTCCCTTTCCTATTTTCAAACTGCTATTGATTTTGGGGAACCGGACCGTGGAGAACAGTGCTGCTGGTGATGGGGAGAAGGGGCCACTCAGTCTGACTCCAGAAGGGCCTTTGGGAGATGGATGTGTGAAGAGCCTGCTTTGAACAGCGCTTCACACAGTAAAGGGTGGTCCACACCCCTCCTCAGCCCCCAACTTCTAGCCTCGCTCACCCCAAACTGCAGAGTCTGGGTGGGATGGAATGGAAAGCTAAGGGCCACCGGGAAGAGTAACCTTTATGGTTCTAGCCATTTTCCTTAACAACCGGACCACCGGGCTCCCACTCTTGGTGGCCATGCAGGAAACAGGAAGGCCCAGGAGCAGACTGGAAGCAGCCGGGGCAGACCTGGTTCTCGTTCTGTGCGGGGTGTGTTGGGCACAGTGGACAATGAAGATGTTGCAGAAGAGGAGCCCTCCCCGCCCCCATCTCACGCTTAGAGAGGGCCAGTGACAAATCTCAGCAATATAACGTCAATTTTATTTTTAAAAAAACAAAGCCCAATCCATCTGCCCCGTCTCCAGAGGGATCTAGCAAAGACCTCAGGAAGGGCCAGCTCCAGCCAAGCAGGGCTCAGTCAGGTGTCAAAGTGGCCACCAGGCCCACGGGCTCTGCTGTCTCAGCCCCTTTGCTTTGCTCCGGCAAGAGGAGCCACCTGAACCTTGGCTCTTACAAGCTCTGCTGCATCTGAGGGAGAGGAGAGGCAGGGCTGTGGACATGCAGGGCCTCCTGGCAGCCATAGAGGGCTGCTGTCTGGGCCCAGGCTGTGTGAGACAGGCCGCTGGGCATGGGCGGATGCGTGAGAAGGAGGCATGCACAGACACCTAATGTTCCCGTTTCCCTGTGCGGTGAGGACAGTGTTCAAAAACGAACAAGGGTGGCCGGGCACTCACGACCCCCAGGGGGCCCTGACCATCTGCCCAGGTCCCTGGCCCAGGAAAGGAAGATGGCATGCCCGCCCTCCTGGTCTCTCTGCTCCCCCTCAAATGGATGCTTTTATTCTCATGGCCACCCTGAGCAGGTGGTGAGGACTAAGATGTCTACAGAGCCCACAGGGCTCAGACATTCTGCCCCAGTGACCTCTAGTCACTCCCAGTTGGACAGGATGCCCAGAGTGCTAGGCACCCACTCTGATCTCTGTCTCGAGCCACGCTAGGAGTGGGCCGTAGAGGCCTGTGGACACGTGGCTCCGAAATAGCATGGTGGCACACCACAGTGTTCATGCTGGTCAGCCTGCCTCCTTCTAGCCTGCCTGTAGTACTGCCCAGCCACGCCTCAGCACCAGGGGTCCCGGGAGGCTCTGCCTCGGCAGAGACTGTCACTCCGCTGCCAGGCGCTGTGGATGAGGCTCAGGGCGTCTTCGAATTTCTGCTTGATGGAAGCTTCATGGATCGCCTTGTGAGGGAGGTCTACCTGTGGCGGACAAGCAGGGAGCATAAAAGCAGCTGGTTGCTTTCCCAGGAGCCATGGAAGAGCTTGGGGCCCTGCACACCCCTTTGGGAGCATCGTCCATGTTGTGAGTTTCCCTCCTGCTCCTCACACAGACCCCAAACTCTCAGGTCTAGCTGGAATCCACTGGGCATGTATCTGTCTTTGACTGTTCTCCACCTCAGGCTCAGTTTAGAGCTCTCCCAGAACCACAGCGGGCAGGGAGCACATGCGCAGAACAGTCCCTCTCCCCAGGTGTGGTGGCAGTGCATGCCTTTCATCCCCGGAGCCAGAGGCAGGGGTTCCCTGTGAATTCCAGGCTAGCCAGATTGTATAATAAGGCCTTGTCTCAAAAACAAACAAACCAAAAACCAAAAAAAAAAAAAAAAAAAAAAAAAAAAACCAACAACAACAAAACAAAAAACAAAAGCTACTACCTCTCAGGGCTCTGGGAAAGAGGAGGTCCTGTCTTGCTTGTGTCTTGCCAGGCCCAGCATGAGCCCCCCAGCTCCTGGTGGCATTTGTAGCCTTTGACAGACTAGCCGACCCTGGGACTTGTTCCTCTGGTTCTAAGTCTCTGGGTCTGTCTCAGTTGTTTGCAAATTGCTGCCCCTAGAACCCTGCGGGTGAGGCCAGGCCCCAAGAACGGCTAGGTACCTGGTAGATGGCTTTCCAGCCAGAGCTCAGGGCAGTCAGGAACCGGTCCAGTTCGGAAGTGCAACTCAGATAGATGACCCAGGGTTGGAGCAGCTGTGGGCTATCCTGGGAGAATTCCTAGGGACAGCAGGTCCCTGGTAAGTATGCACAGATTTCCTCGGGCAGGGTCTGAGCCCTCATTCCCACCCAGCTCACCAGGACACAGTACTCCTTGCCCAGCTCTGTAGAGATGGCACTGATGTCAGCCAGCCTGGCTGTGCCCAGGGAGCGAAAGAAGCTGGTTTGGCAATCCTCATGGCATGTGAAGAGGCGGTCCTCGGTGATTACCAGGCAGCAAGGGATACAGGGGCTGGGAGCCACCCCCTGGGGTATGACCTGGATATGGGCAGAAAGTGGGAGAGGCAAGCTCTTTCTCCGTTAGACTGTCTACCTTAGCAGTGTAGGGAGGGGAGGGGGAGCGGTCCAAGTACAAAGTGCTCTGAACGTGTGTTCATTCCTGGGCTGTCCCCTAGGGTCTACCATCTTGGCCCTCCCAGGCTTCTCTGTGACTGGTGTGTTTGGGGGTTGGACCCTGAGATCCGGATGGGCCAGGCTGGGCAGATGGCGGAAGCGGGGGGCACTTACTCCTTTGGACACGGCCTGGCAGAGATGCTGCATCCAGTCAGCCATCTCAGCCTCGCTGTCAGCACTTAGCTCCAGGCAGGGCCGGTCAGCCAGAATGACCTGGAAGGCGTGGGGCCGATCTGTGGTGTTGGATCTCCGGCAGCCACCGCACTGCTCCCCCCTGGGCCAGAGGAGGAGGGTGAAACGGGAGTGAGGTGGCTGGAGTGGGAGCGCCTGGGGTTGGTTGAGGTGTGCGGACACTGGGCTCGCGCTCTGGCTCTAGGTACATTTACAGATGCTTGGCAACCTCTCATTTCTGTGTAACAGTTTTTTTTTTTTTTTTATTTCTTTTGAGACAGGGTCTCATGTAGCCCAGGCTGGCCCGGAACTTGTTATGTAGCAGAGGATGGCCTGGAACTCCTGAGCCTCCTGCTTCTACCCTCCACACTGGATTAGAAGGTTGCACGACAATCTGTATCTCCAGAATGGCCAAGATCCCCGGGGGTACCCAAACATAGCCAGGTGAGAGGTCACAAAGCCACTGACTGCTCCTGCTCAGAACCAGTGCCCACTGACCCACTTCCTCTGCACTCTGCCTCTCACTGGGTGGGGACTTGCTGGGAAGGGGCTCTCTTCTCTTGCCAGAGGGTGCCTCCTCATTCACCCTGCCTCCATGGCTCCTTACAGCTTGCAAACCCTAAGACACTTGTTGGGGGTTGCTGGGTAAGGTGCGGTGAGGGACAGAAGGTCAGCAGTTCCTGGCCTCAGACTCAGCTAGAGCTGACCTCCAGGCAGGACACCTAGCCATGACACCTACCTGCCTAGTACCCTCTTCCTGGGACACTTACCCCATGTTCACCGACAGCAGGGGGATGACATCAGTGCGGTCCGGATACTGGTAGAGGATCCCGTTGCTACAGGGTCACAATACAGTGAGGTGAGACCTGGCTAAGAAGACCCCGGGGGTCCCTCATAAACTGCCTGGGAACCAGGGACCTGCTTTCTATGGAGGGGGCAAGAAAGGAACCTGAGAGGGGCTGGGGAGAACACTGCCGCTTCCTGGGCACGGCTGAAGCTCTGTCACCAGGGCTGGCTCAGGCACCTGGGAATCCTGTGCCCTGAGAACTGACCGACCCCCCAGCTCTGTGGAGAAGGGAGGCATCTGCCCTTGGGCCTCTCCTGCTGGGGACCTGACACCCCCTGGGCCCACACCTCGGGACTCCCACCTGAGCACCACGAAGCAGGTCTTCCAGTGTTCCTTGCCTAGATAGGAGGTGCCAGCCTTGTAGTGCAGCATGCCTTCTTTGGTGATGGTGCCTTCAGGGGGGGAGCAGTGGCAGGGGACAGGGCCCAGGGCCTCGTCCATGGGGTCCTCCCAGTGCACAAGCCCATAGAAATGCACAGTCACAGTGGATGCCTGGAGGGTTCAGACAACAGATAGGCAGATAAGGCCTTGGCAGAGCCTCGGCTCACCCACGACCCAGCCCCAGGAGCCATGACAACAAGGTAACCTCAGGCCACAGACAAGTGGGCAAGAGGACAGGGTCCAGAGGAGGAAAGTCCTTCCCACGAGGTGACTGAGGAACACGAGGGGCGCCATTTGCACCACTTAGCCTTAATCCAAGGCACGCCACTGTTGGTGCGCCACCCCGGCCACTGACCTCACATTTGGATTCCTGGGCGACAAATTTGGCCAGTGCCAACTTCTCCATGGTGGCATCAGTCAGGATGCTCGGGTAGGGTGGTTCCCGGCAGCCTTTGATCATGGCTGACCTCAGAGACGCCAAGAAGAGCCTGGGCAGGGGGTGCGGTTTGCAGTCAGAGGCCTGGGGACAGGCCCTCAGTGGACAGGGCTCTGTCCTGAGTGCTCTGGGCCCAGCGGGCTAACAGAAACTAGGGCTGAGGATGCTGGGATCAGGGCAGCAGTGGGCGATGATGAGGTCAGAGCCCTGCATCACTGGACGGTGCCCAGAAAAGGCCTGACCATTCCCAGTGTCCAAAGGGCCTTGGATTCTGAAAGTGTTGGCCAGTAGGACTTGACTATTCCAGTCAGCACAGATATGACCTCGTCACGCGTAATTCTCATGTCTATAGTCCTGGGCACACCCAGGACAACAGCCTGGCTCTTGGGTCTCCCCCGCTCATTGGACCTCACACCAGCCCCTTTCCTCTCCACGAGTCCTGAGGGGCTGAGGTCACCTGGGCTGACGTGAGTCAGTTGGTCAGTGACTGTCCACTTCCCTGCCTCTCTGAGCAGACCGCTCTTAGGGGAACAGATGGGTGTCTGCTTCTCCCCCCAGCCAGGGCCATGCCCATGGAAGATGCTGATTCTCCTGTCCTGCTGAGGGGTGGGGGCTGACACTCACTCAGCCAGGGCCACGTCAGCCGTATCCAGCAGAAGCTGCTTCCTGCGGTTGGTGCACACCAGCCTGACAGTCTGTTGGTCGAGGCCAACCTGCCAGAAACCACACAGGGCTTGGCCACTGCCCAGCACAAGGGGCATCATGGCCAGATTGAGGGTTGACTGGGATCCAGAAGGGAGGAACCACACATTTGGGGTCTGACCAAGATCTGGGGTCTGGCAGGAGTGAGGGAAGATGGTCAGAGACCTGGTGCAGGAAGAGGCGTCTCTGCACTTGACTCCTGTCTCCAGCATGTGCACAGAGGCCTCTGTGGATGGCGGTGCCCATACCCAGGATGGACCTTGCTCTGCAGCTCTAAGCATGGGTGGCCTGAGAAGCCTCATACCTAGGAGGGTACACCAACTGCAGAGCCTGGACTCACCGACACATAGTCAAGTTCATTGTAAGAAACGGCCTCCTCCACCAGGTATGGCTTCTCTGTGGCCCCTGAGAGAGGAGACCACAATACCTATTACCCTGGCTGGCCTTTTTCCCCTCCCGCAGCCTCATTTTCTAAGACCCAGCCCCCTTGCAGAGAAGACCCCCTCCTTACCCTGCAACGTGAAGTGACAGTGTAGCAGAGAGACAGACAGGGTGCTCAGCCCAGCTAGCAACACCTCCCGTGGGACACCTTGTCATTAGTACGTGCCTTTAGTGGGAGTGGGGGAGGGCTGGGGGAGGGGAGCTCAAGCCCACCCACTCTGGCCTGGGGTGGCAGGCACCTTTCCGAAGCAAGTAGACGTAGCAGTCCGTGAGCAGCACATACAGCAGCTGCAGGTTACCCTCCATGTGCCCAGTGCTCATCCGGATCATCTAGGAGCCGAAGCAAACGGGCATCGGCTTGAGCTCCTGCTCTGCCGGACCTGCACGCACACTCAACAGTGTGGCTGTCCCGGCCTGCCTCTGCTGTACTGCTTGATCATTCCCCAGTTCGGGGACTTACTTTGAACAACTGCTCTTCGTTTTCTCTAAAGACATGGATCATCAGCAGGAGTAGGTGATTGTTGTCTACTCTGTGACAGGGACAAGGGTAGGGAGGAGCAGGGGTCAGGCAGGAGGTGACCTGCCTTTCCATCTCCCACCAGCAGGCTAGACCTCCCATCCCTGATGGACTGGCAGATCCTGCAGCAGGTGTAGACAGCCCTCACCTGAACTCTGAGGGGTGTGTCATCTCCGAAGGGCTCCCCTGGCCCTCATCTACCCCGGAGTCCTCAGCGCTGCTCAGACACGGACTGGGCTGGTCTCGCTTGAGCTTGCAAAGGGCTTCCTGGGTTCCAAGTTCAGGCTGGGACACAGGTTCAGGCACAGGCTCCTCGTTGACCGGTGGCACCTGGGTGTCCTGCTCCTGAGGCTCTGGCTCCTGAGGCTCCCCTTGCATGTCCTCTAGGGGCTGAGATGCCTGCCCTTCTCCTCTTCCTCCCTCTTCTTCTTGGAGAGCAGTCTCAGGGCGACCAGGAACATGCAGCGGTTGGCTAGGCCCTGCAGGGTCATGGTGGCCGCCACCTGGTGCAACAGTACTTGGACTCTCGACCGTAAAGCGGTAGAAGTCCATTGGGGCTGGAAGCCCCTCACTAAAGTCGCAAAATGGTGGTTTCTCCGGGGCCTCCCCGGGAGAGCCGGTCCGAAAGGACTGATCTGGGGGATCAATGTGGGAGCACCATGTGCTGGGGTCCAGCTGTCCATGGAGCTTGTCAATGACCTTGCTCAGGGGCTGTCCCAGGCACTCCATGGAGGTGTCCTTCATCTCGGGGATCAGCAAGCCCATCTGGCTGAGCTCTGAGGGTTCACTGCTCTCAGCTGCACTGCTGGACCCTTCCCCTTGCTCCTGCGGGGAGGTAAGTGTAGTATCTGGCAAGTCCCGCCCCAGGCTCGGCGTGCCCACAAGTCCGTCACCATCCCCCTGCCTAGGACATTTCTGGTGGCTAGAGGTGGGGTGCGGCGCGCTTGCCTCCTCGTCCAATTTGGTCTTTTTCTTCTTACCAATTTTCTTCTTCTTGGTGACCCTGCGACGGCAGTGACAGGGAGGGAGTTAATGCTTTAGTACCCACTGGGTACAGGCTGGGTCAGAGAGGCAGTCCAGAGGGTATGTGTCCTGGGCAGTACAAGGTGAGAGACCTAAGGTGTCCTGCTGCTGGCAGAGATGGGTGGAAGGGACAGCCAAGAGAGGCATGCATGGCTCCCGAGCAGGCCTACAAATTCTAGCTGATGGAACTGAGGTAGCAGCCAGGCCTGTGGTGCAAACTTGCGGTCCCAGCACTTGGGATGCGGAGGCAGAAGGATTGTAAGTACAAGGGCAGCCTAGGCTACACAGCTAGACCCATCTCAAAAAAAAAAAAAAAAAAAAAAAAAAAAGAGGAAAAAAATAATCTGAGCCGGGTGGTGGTGGCGCACGCCTTTAATCCCAGCACTCAGGAGGCAGAGCCAGGTAAGGATCTCTGTGAGTTCGAGGCCAGCCTGGTCTACAGAGTGAGATTCAGGACAGGCACCAAAGCTACACAGAGAAACCCTGTCTCAAAAAACAAAACAACAACAAACAAACAAAAACAAAAAACAAAAAAATCTGAGCTAGGGGCTGGAGAGATGGCTCAGCAGTTCTTCCAGGGGTCCTGAGTTCAATTCCCAGCAACCATATGGTGGCTCACAGCCACCTGTAATGAGATCTGGTGCCCTCTTCTGGCCTGCAGGGACACGTGCAGACAGAACACTGTATACATTATAAATAAACATTAAAAAAAAAAAAAAAAATCTGAGCTAAGCCAGGCCTGGTAGCACAAACTTTTAATCCCAGCACTCGGCAGGCAGAGGCAGGAGGTCATTTGAGTCAAGCCTAGTTTACATATTGAGTTCCAGGCTAACCAGGGCTACATAGTGATACCTTGTCTCAGAAAACAAAACAAAAACAAAAACCAAACCAAACAACAACAAAAAAAGCAAAAGCCAAACAAATCTAACTGAGCTAGTTATGATCGTCCAGGAAACAAACGTGGGCCACGGTTAGTTGGACCAAAGACTCTCTACTCAGTGCTCCTCTTAGGAAATCAACAACAGATCTATTAGGTATCATTGGGAATAAATGATATGCCCCCAAATGCCTCAGAGTTTCTGGGTTTGTCGTCTTGGCCCTACTCTTCGGTTCTAAGATGGCTGGGATGGGCCCGGCTAAGACTTTTCAGGGCTAAGTCTCTAAAGCTCCTGTGAACTTTAACCAACATGAAAAAGTTTGTGTGAGCAGGTGTGTGTGTGAGAGAGAGAAAATGTGTGTGTGTGTCCCAAACCCAGACCCTAGAGGGTAATGCTCCTGTCTCAGGCCAACAGATACAATGGGATATGGGGCTTCTTTCCTCATCTGGTGTGGAGAGTTCTCAGAGCAGGGCCCAAGGGAGGTCAGGGAGCTGAGATGGTTCTAGCCACAAGTCCCCCCCCCCCCCCCCCCCAGCACACCTCTGTCCATGTGTCAACGAGTCCCCACCCAGCACACCTCTGTCCATGTGTCGAGTCCCCCCCAGCACACCTCTGTCCATGTGTCAACGAGTCCCCCCCACAGCACACCTCTGTCCATGTGTCAACGAGTCCCCCCCACAGCACACCTCTGTCCATGTGTCAACGAGTCCCCCCCACAGCACACCTCTGTCCATGTGTCAACGAGTCCCCCACAGCACACCTCTGTCCATGTGTCAACGAGTCCCCCCGCCCCCAGCACACCTCTGTCCATGTGTCAACGAGTCCCCCCGCCCCCAGCACACCTCTGTCCATGTGTCAACGAGTCCCCCCCGCCAGCACACCTCTGTCCATGTGTCAACGAGTCCCCTCCCCGCCCCCAGCACACCTCTGTCCATGTGTCAACGAGTCCCGCCGCCCCCAGCATACCTCTGTCCATGTGTCAATGAGTCCCCCCCTCCCCCAGCACACCTCTGTCCATGTGTCAACGAGTCCCCCCGCCCCCAGCATACCTCTGTCCATGTGTCAACGAGTCCCCCCCATCATACCTCTGTCCATGTGTCAACAAGTCCCCCCCCCGCCCCCAGCATACCTCTGTCCATGTGTCAACGAGTCCCCTCCCCGCCCCCAGCACACCTCTGTCCATGTGTCAACGAGTCCCCCCCACCCCCAGCACACCTCTGTCCATGTGTCAACGAGTCCCCCCCACCCCCAGCACACCTCTGTCCATGTGTCAACGAGTCCCCCCCACCCCCAGCACACCTCTGTCCATGTGTCAACGAGTCCCCCCCCACCCCCAGCACACCTCTGTCCATGTGTCAATGAGTCCCTCCCACCCCCAGCTCACCTCTACACCTCTGTCCATGTGTCAACGAGTCCCCCCCCAGCATACCTCTATCCATGTGTCAATGAGTCCCCCCCACAGCACACCTCTGTCCATGTGTCAACGAGTCCCCCCCACAGCACACCTCTGTCCATGTGTCAATGAGTCCCCCCCACAGCATACCTCTGTCCATGTGTCAACGAGTCCCCCCCACAGCACACCTCTGTCCATGTGTCAACGAGTCCCCCCCACAGCATACCTCTGTCCATGTGTCAACGAGTCCACTCCCCGCCCCCAGCACACCTCTGTCCATGTGTCAACGAGTCCCCCCCGCCAGCACACCTCTGTCCATGTGTCAACGAGTCCCCCCGCCCCCAGCACACCTCTGTCCATGTGTCAACGAGTCCCCCCCACCCCCAGCACACCTCTGTCCATGTGTCAACGAGTCCCCCCCGCCCCCAGCACACCTCTGTCCATGTGTCAATGAGTCCCCCCCATCATATCTCTGTCCATGTGTCAATGAGTCCCTCCCCAGCACACCTCTGTCCATGTGTCAACGAGTCCCCCCCTTCCCCAGCACACCTCTGTCCATGTGTCAACGAGTCCCCCCCAGCACACCTCTGTCCATGTGTCAACGAGTCCCCCCGCCCCCAGCACACCTCTGTCCATGTGTCAACGAGTCCCCCCCACCCCCAGCACACCTCTGTCCATGTGTCAACGAGTCCCCCCCACAGCACACCTCTGTCCATGTGTCAACGAGTCCCCCCGCCCCCAGCACACCTCTGTCCACGTGTCAACGAGTCCCCCCCACAGCACACCTCTGTCCATGTGTCAACGAGTCCCCCCACTCCCCCAGCACACCTCTGTCCATGTGTCAAAAACATGACCCATGAAGTGGACTCAGCTAGAACCAAAACTAGAGAGATCTCAGAATGTATGCTGACTCCCAGGCACCGCCAGGCTGGGGCAGGGGGATGGCAAGTTTGAGTCTAACCTGGGCTTCATACACATATACTGAGGACCCTTCTCACAAAACAAGTACTGCTGGGAAGAGGTCTGACCCACGGTGGTTCCTGGCCCTGGATGGGCTAGACAAAATGCTCAGAAGCCAGCTACGGCTGCTGTCCAGATCAGTCCCTCCAGGGCCTGGAACTTACTCCAAGATGGATGCTTGTGTCCCTCTCAATTCGTGCATGGGAACCCTAACCCACGGGTAATGGTACCAAAGGGGTGTTTCTGAGAGGTGCTAAGGTCATGGGGCAGAGCTCTGTGAATGGGACCGTGGCCCTTACAAAAACAGCCCGAGAGGTTTCTCCACTCTGACATGTGAACACACACAAGGTGGACACGTGTAAACATGGAAAGGGTCCTCCTCTCAGGAACTGTGGGTGTGGCACCCTCACCTCAGCCTCCAGAATAAAGACCTGATGTGGTTTGGTGAGGTGGCGCATGTCTTTAACGCACTCAGGAGGCAGAGGCTGGAGGATCTCTGTGAGTCAAGGCCAGCCTGGTCTACAAAGGGAGTTCCAGGACAGCCAGGGCTTCATAGAGAGACCCTGTCTTAAACAAAAGAGGCCTGGCCAGGTGTGGTGGCACACACCTTTATTTCAAGCACTCAGGAGTCAGAGGCCAGAGGATCTGAGTTTGAGGCCAGCCTGGTCTACATAGTAAGTTCCAGAATGGCCAGGGTTGCACAGAGAAACCCTGTCTCAGACAAAAACAAAGTCTGCTCTTCTGCTGTTTGTCACCTGTCTCTGCCCTTGGTGACAGCAGCCTCCCTGGGACAGATCTTCTGATCCCTGTGGCCCAAAGGACTGTACAAGGTGTGAAGGGGCTGCTTCTTAAGTCTCAGTGATGTCCCCTGCCCTTGGGACAGTCCCCGTCTTCCCTGGACTACATGGTGAGCCCAGAGGTAGACACTGGGCACAAGGGGCTGACTCATCCACCTTCTCCCAGGCCCTTCCTTCCCTGCTGACCTGATGACTTCAAGCTCCGTACAGGCATCTGGCTGGTCTGGGGCCTGGGCCTCGTCCTTCTCCTGAGAGGTGGTGTGCACAGGGGTGGTGTCAGATGATGACACAGCCTCACGCTGCTCCTCATTGAAGGGGTTATGGCGCTGGGTGGGACTCTTGGTAGATGCCTTGCTACTGGTTAGGTCCGAGGCAGTGGAGCGGGGGCCGCTGATGGTGTCTGTGAGGTCTCCATCTGCAAGGACAAGGGGACAGGACACAGACAGCCTGTCAGCCACCAACTGGGCCCCAGAGGATGCCTTATCTCAGGGGAGGTGGGCTAGTTCCTCCCAGGGAAGCCTGACCACGGTGGCCCTAGTTCAAGAGCAGAGGCCCCAACCCACAGGACATGCAATTAATGCTTTTGGAGCCAAATGATGGGGACACCCTCTTCTCTGTCACTGGGAGCCCTTAGTACTCACACTTAGCCAAGTTCAGTTAAGGGTCCACAGTGTGAAACAGCTTCTAGCCTAAGCCCTGGGCAGGGTGACTGAGGCTTCCCAGGGTGGCTGGGACCCCAAGAGGAGACAGGTTGCATACCTCCTAGGATAACCTCAGAGCCCTCTGATGTAAGGATTGGGGGTGCCCAGAAGCCCCTCAACACCACTCCTTGTGCAAAGTGATACCCAAAGTCCTCTGCAAGCCCCCTCCCCCACAGACAACAGGGAACATAGGAAGCAAGAAGAGCAGAAGAGAGAGACAAGGGAAATGAAAGCGTGGGCTGGGGAGCACAGGGGAGGGGCTGGGGACACAGGACCCAATACAACAGAGACAGATCAGGGACAACAAGATGGGATGCAGGGAGCAAGGGGTGAAGGGGCTGCCCCCCAAGACACTTCGCAAGCTCTTCACAGGGTATTGACTTTTCTCCCCCAACTCCAACAGCACTCCTGGGGCTCTACAGAGCCAGGCACCCCTCTTAGGGTGAGCTGGAGGACGCTGCTGCCTTTCAGTGAGGAGCGGATCCAACTGGCCTCCTCCAAATCCCTCTAGTCTAAATCACTGGAATAGGTGGACGGGGAGCACCAGTGTGGTGAGTACAGGGGACCATTTATCTGGCGGCAGATGGGAGCTACCCAGGCAGAGAGCTGGGACCTGGGACTGCCTGGGTGAGGGCTAATGGCCACTCATACTCCAGTAGTTGGCATGTGCACATCTTGCTGGCCATTACCTCTGCAGAAGTGGGAGGAAGAACACGCTTCCCTAAGCACACCGGAAGGGCCTGCTGGCTGACACCGTACTTGGTTTCTCTTGTTTTAAGTGGCTGTCTTTTCTCATTTTTATCTTTTTGAGATGGGGGTCTCACTATGTAGCTCTGTCTGGCCTGGGACAATCCACAGTCCTCCTGCCTCAGGAAGGGTTAAAAGTTATTACGTCTCTGTCAGGAACATGCTAGGTATGCTCTTCCATTTTCCTGATTGGAGCCTAGCTCTCAGAAGGAAATGATGCTTTCAGACCCCACAGAGGGCTCCCACGGGGACAGAGGTTGCAACCTCTCTTCCCCTGAGCACCTGCAGCTGCTTGTGGAGGGGTCACGAGAGGTGAGTGAACAGACCTCAGGACATGGTAGGTGTTAAGCCTGGATGCCTAGCAATTTTATAAAGAAGCTTAAGACCATGGATCACCCTACCCAGCCCTGCTCAGGGCCCCAAGTTTGGAGATGCCCCTAAGTCCTTTCCTCCAGGCTCAAGGAGACAGTGGTGTCTTAGCTAGGTGAGCGGCCACAGTGGGCCAGGGAATTCTTCAGTGTGAGGAACTTCGAGAGTCACCTCTGCAATGAATATATAACCCTGCCTGAGCCTGGCCCAGCCTGAGCAAGCTGGGCTATTAGTTCCTGAACAAGATCTACAGGGCTGTGGAGGAAGGTCAGAGGTCATGGTCTGCCTGTCAAGTGACTAAAAAGTGTGTCAGGAAAGGGTTAGTGGTTAGAGCCAGAGAGAAAAACCAACGCCGACATTATGCTTCAGAGGAGGCTGAGAGGAGAGAAGATGTTAAGGTGGAATTCCGGGTCTCACATTACCTGCACTCAAAGCTACCTCCTTGGCTGAGCAATACAATTTACCTCTCAGTGCTGGAGCCCGTGTCCCTCACAGCTAAGCTAGTTCACAGTCACATCACATGGGAAACACCAGCTCTGGTCCACTGCTGAGAGGTCATCCTCGGGGGGGGGGGGGGGGGGGGGGGGGAACCCCACCTCAGGTAAGAAAGGGGTGCCCGGGGCAGGAGCTCTTTGGGAAGGGAGTCTGAGACAGCCTCAGATTTAAGGAGCAAACATCCACTGCATCAAACAGAGAGCCTACTTGGAGTCAGTACTGCCACCTGGGAGTTGTTGTGTGAATTTGTCCAAGCCCAGCTGTGGGGTCACAGGCAGGAAAAAATGCCCCCACAATGCTGATGTGCAGGGCAGCATAAGAAGCTAAACTGCTTTAGAACTCCAAAGAGAATCTCCTTGTTGGAAGCTTTCACATTGACTTACTTATGGGGCGGGGCATACTCGTGTGTGCATGGGGGTCAGAGGATGCTGTGTGCACATAGGGGTCAGAGGCTGCTGTGTGTACACAGGGGTCAGAGGATGCTGTGTGCACATAGGGGTCAGAGGCTGCTGTGTGTGTACACAGGGGTCAGAGGCTGCTGTGTGTACATAGGGGTCAGAGGCTGCTGTGTGTACACAGGGGTCAGAGGCTGCTGTGTGTACACAGGGGTCAGAGGCTGCTGTGTGTACACAGGGGTCAGAGGCTGCTGTGTGTACACAGGGGTCAGAGGCTGCTGTGTGTACACAGGGGTCAGAGGGTGCTGTGTGTACACAGGGGTCAGAGGCTGCTGTGTGTACATAGGGGTCAGAGGCTGCTGTGTGTACACAGGGGTCAGAGGGTGCTGTGTGTACACAGGGGTCAGAGGATGCTGTGTGTACACAGGGGTCAGAGGATGCTATGCATGTACATAGGGGTCAGAGGATGCTGTGTGTACACAGGGGTCAGAGGATGCTGTGTGTACACAGGGGTCAGAGGGTGCTGTGTGTACATAGGGGTCAGAGGATGCTATGCATGTACATAGGGGTCAGAGGCCATCTTGGGGATGTTAGTTCTCTCCTCCCACATGTGGCTTCCAGGGAAAGAATTCAAGTGGTCATGCTTGGTGGTGACAAGTACCTATACTTGCCAAACCATCTTGCTGACTCCTCCCTGTAGGGAGTTTTAGCTATGCCTGGGCGGTTTCCTCACTTAGATCTCAACCCATTAGGGAGAGCCTGAAAGGATCAAGCCTCCATCTTTCTCCTGGATGCTCTTGTGATAAATAGGAGGTTACAATCCCTGTATCTCAAAGCATCACTTTTCTAGATCAGGTTTCCACTCCACTGAACCAGGTCTCTCACATACACCATTAGTGTAACGACGAGGACTGGAATCAGAGGGTGGCTTGGTGTCCGGGCAGGGGTCACTCAGTGACTCCTGAGGCCCCCAGGGAAAGGCAGGAATGCTCCCTGAGAGAAGGGCTCCTGGGCTAAGGGCCAAGTTCCCCTCCTGCAGAATTCCACCTACTCCAACACCAGCTGTGGCGTCGTTATGACCATGGGCATTGTTATAAGTAATAAGAAGTTGATTCTGAAACACATGCAGCAAGCTGGGCGGGGAAACGTTGCAAACCAGGAAAAGAGGGTCACAGAGGACTCTGTCCCACCTTCCCAGTCTGTGCTGGGTACAGACGGCACTGCTGGAAACACATCTCCAAAATCATAATCTATAAAAACGAGGGACAAAACTCAAGATTAGAAGCGGGCGGTGGGAGAGGGTCGGGGCAACGGGTGGGAGGCACGGGGAGAAGAGAGAGGGAGAAGAACGTTGGACACGTTCTCTAGCAGCCGACGGTCACCTCGGCTGTCCTGAGGGCCACTCCTTCCCAACCCAGAGCCTGTCCTGGCGCACAAGAACCTGAGTCTCCTTGCCCCTCCCCCTGTGGCCCTCGGGGTAATGAGGTCCTGTCCTTCTGGCTAGAGTTAGTATAAGCTCCACCCATGGATGGCCTGGCCGCTTCTTCAAGGCCTGTCCCTCTGACTCCTCCTCCAGGGTATCCCATGAGGCCCACCCAAGGAGACTGGGTGGCTTCGTCACTTGTCCCATAAGCAAATAAGTAGTGCAAATCTTTTTATTATTATTAGTTCTTGAAACATATTTTCATGCAGCCCAGGTTGGTCTTGAACTTGTTACATAGTACAGAATGACCCAGAACGTCTGATCCTCCTGACTATCTTCTGAGTGCTGGGATTACAGGTATGCCCCATCAGGCCTGGTGTGTGTGCGTGTGCGTGTGCGTGTGCGTGTGCGTGTGCGTGTTGTGTAAACATGGGTTTGCGTGAGTGTGTGGAGATCAGAGGACAACCTTCAAAAGTCACTTTTCCCCTTGTATGGTGGGTTGTCAGATTTGTGTGGTGTGGCAAGTGGTTTTTAGCCACTAGGCCATCTCACTGGCCACAAGCTTGGGTTTATGCAGTGCCGGGGATTGAGAGCCCAGGGCGTCATACATGATAGACCAGCGCTCTACCCACAGAGCTACACTGCTAACTCCTATGATGCAAATCTTGCTGAAACAAGTCTGAGAGTGGGACACATAACCCATGCCCAAGCAGAACAATGAGGGAGGTCAGGTCACAGGGGAGGCGGCCAGGGAGCTGAGGGAGTCCGCGGAGCCTGCCTCCCCCGAGGCGAGGTTGGGTGAATGAGGTCAGATCAAGGAAGGCTAGATCTCACTGCAGTGAGGGCAACAGCCAGATTTATGAATGCCAACACCTAAGGTTTGAGGAAAGCCAGGGTTTTCTAGCCACCGATCTGAGTTAAAAGGATTCACTTATGGTTTGTCAGTCTCAGGGGACAGGTACAGCCATCTCTGACCCATGGAGGGGCACTAAGAGGGATTGCCCAAGAAACCATGGGGGTTCCTGCCCCTCAGACTGCCTGCCGGTCTCTCCTGGGGTTGCTCAGCCTCTGCATAGAACCTGCTGCAGGACAACCGTGCCCAGGCAGCTGATGGCTCAGCCCTGACTCAGACAAGATTCCCAGGGCATATTGCTGTGACTCTCTCCTTGCTCAGAAGACTGCCCCTGGGCATAAGGCTAGAAACTTCTAGGAAAGTTAGTAAGGTTCACAGGGCCTGATTTTTCCTTTTATTTTATTTTTTTTATTTATTTATTTTTTTTTTTTTTTTGGTTTTTTGAGACAGGGTTTCTCTGTGTAGCTTTGCGCCTTTCCTGGAATTCGCTTTGGAGACCAGGCTGGCCTCGAACTCACAGAGATCCACCTGGCTCTGCCTCCCGAGTGCTGGGATTAAAGGCGTGCGCCACCACCGCCCGGCTTAATTTTATTTTTTTTTTTAAGCTACCACAGAAATGAAGATCTGGGAAATGATCAGCTCTGTTCAACTGCAAATCCCAAACACCAGAGAGACATTGTCACTCAGCAAGGCTTGGGAGGCTCCAGAGGTCACTTCAGGATACAGGCCTAGTTCCTTTTTCCCAGGGGCCACTTACCCTCACTAGATGGGGCAATGGCGCTGTCATCCCATTCCAGGTTGGTGGAGGTGACAGAGTTGAAGGAGTTGAGGGACAGGCTGTCTGAGCCATGGACTGAGCTGGGAAGGCGGTCTTCGAAGTCCAGCAGGTACTGAGGCTTATAGTAATCGGGCATATAGGGGGCCAGGTCCAAGTAAGGGGCATCCTGGGGAGACAGAAGAGGGGGAGGAACGTTGGAGAGGAACCTCAGGACAGCCAGCAAACAAGGCTTGGCAAGCAGTCACCAGAATCAGGATGGGAAGGAAGATGGGGATCTCACACACACACCACATGATACCACACAGACACAGACACACACACACACACACATGATACCACACAGACACACACACACACACAGACACACACAGACACACAGACACACACACCACATGATACCACACACACACACATACACACACACACCATTGCTGTGGGATGTTCTATATGGCAAATGTGTTGCTGATTGGTCAATAAATAAAACACTGACTGGCCATTGGCTAGGCAGGAAGTGTAGGCGGGACAAGGAGGAGAATAAAGCTGGGAAGTGGAAGGCTGAGTCAGAGAGACACTGCCAGCAGCCATGATGAGAAACAGCACGTGAAGATGCTGGTAAGCCACGAGCCATGTGGCAAGGTATAGATTAATGGAAATGGATTAATTTAAGCTGTAAGAACAGTTAGCAAGAAGCCTGCCATGGCCATACAGTTTGTAACCAATATAATAAGTCTCTGAGTTTACTTGGTCGGGTCTGAGTGGCTGTGGGACTGGCAGGTGAGAGAGATTTGCCCTGACTGTGGGCCAGGCAGGAAAACTCTAGCTATACACCATGCTCTCTTAGGGAAATCAGTGTGCTTCAGGAGTTAACTAGGAAGTAATTGCCCTAAGGAGTAGGACACAGTTCTAAAGCTTTGGATGTGATGAGTGTTGGCACAGTAATGCTTGCCTGAATGCATGCACAGCTGGGTTCCATCATCAGTGCCACAAAAAAGGAAGGAAAAGATTCATCAGAATCCCGCCAGAGCAGCTACCATTCCCTTGACAGCTCTCAGCATTAGAATCTCTCACTGTCTCTGGTTTCTACCACTGCCGAGTCCCACCTGCAGCAGGTACACGGGTCTTGTCGAGCTCAGGTCTATGAGATGCTCTGGCCTCTTTGGGGTCAGTATTGTCCTCGTACAGGCACAGCCTCAGACATGCAGTTTTGTTGTCTATGGCTTGTTACTGTAGTCTGGAAATATTAAGTGAAAACTTCCAGAAATAAACAAGTGATAAGTCTTCAAAATTTTTTGGAGCTAGACATGTGGTACACGCCTTTAATCCCAGCACTTGGGAAGCCGAGGCAGGTGGATCTCTGTGAGTTCCAGGCCAGCCAGGGATACTTAGTGAGAACCTGTCTCAATAAAGAATTATTTATATTTTATTATTTTGTGTGCATGACGTATGTGTGATGGTGGTTGGGGGAACACAGACATGCCACAGGACTTGTGTGGAGGTCAGAGGTCAATGTTGTGCTTGCTCCTTTGCTTTTATGTAGGTTCTGGGTATTGAACTCAGCTGGACAGGTTTGTGTGGCAAGTGTTTCACCCCCTGAGCCAAATCACTGGTCCTGTTTTTGTTGCTGTTGTTATTATATTTCCAATAGGATTTCATGAATCTCAGGCTGGGCTTGACTTTGCTATACAGCTGAGGATGGCTTTGAACCTTTGGATCCTCCTGACTCCTACATAACTCATACATGTTTTAAAAAAACAAAAGCAAAAACTCTTAAATTGTTATAATTGTCCTGCTTTGCTACTATTGTTGTTATCTCTTACAGAGGATAGCTTTTTAGTTTAATTTTATCCATTTATTTATTTATTTGTTTGTTTGTTTATTTTCAGGATGGGTTTTTCTGTGTAGCCTTGGCTGTCCTGGAACTCACTCTGTACACCAGATTGGCCTCAAACTCAGAGATCCACCTGCCTCTGCCTTCCAAGTGCTGGGATTAAAGGCCACTCATCAGTTTAAGATTTTATAGTTAAGTAAGTGTTTATATGTGTCTGTGTCAGGGTATGCGCACTTGTGAGTGCAATACCCTCAGGCGCCAGAAGTGGGAGTCAGATCCCCTTGGCACTGAGGTTACAGGTGGTTGTGAGCTGCCTGTCACACAAAGGTGCTGTCAACTAAACTCAGGTCCTCTGCAAGAGCAGTACATGCTCTTAACCACTGAGCCATCCCTCCAGTCCCTGTGCCTGATTTACAAATTAAACTTTAATACATATATGTGTGTGTGTATATGAAAAAACACAGCACATACAGAGTTTGGTACCATCTGTGATTTTAGGCATCTGGGGGGTAGAGTCTTAGAAAGTGAGCCCTGTGGACATGGGAAGGTCTATCCAGTGTCCAGTGTATGGTCATGAAGGAAGCTTGAGAATTTGAAGAGGGGTTGAGAGCTCCTGTGGAGAAGCACGGAGCCAAGGACGCTTGTCAGGATTGCAGGAGTTTGTCTTGTACCTCTCAGACACTCATGTCTTAAACACAAAGGTGAGTCCTTCTGAGCTATGACAATTGAGGCCAGGTGGCTTTTCCCCAGGTGTGTAGAGAGACAGGAAGACACTGAAGCAGGAATCCTGGCCATGAGTAAGCCAAGAGAGTAAGCCCTTCCAGCCAATCCCACTGACCCTAAAGGTGTCCTTTATCTGAACACACAGGCGTTGCCAAGGTCAGCCACACACAACAAACTCCAGATGGACTAGAAAAATGAAGTCCTTCCCAATGCCCTCTCATCTTCCTCCAGCATCAAGAACCAAGGTGTCTCACCAGATCCAGGTCGAACCGAATAAACTCCAGCCCAGACACCAAGGTCAGGAAAAGAGTCAGGTGATCATGGCTGCAGACCAGGGCATTCCTGCCAGACACAAAAAACAACCCGGGGATCTCTGAGTCTGGTCACCAGCCTGGCTCGACCTCACCAGAAAGCCTACAGTGTTGAAACTGGACGGGTGACAGCCCACCCCTGGAAGACACCCAGCTTGTTCGGCCACGCCCCCCCCCTCCAGTTTCTCTTGTTCATATTGGCTGTGAAGCTTACTAAGTGTCAGAGATGGGCCTGGAGCATAAGGCTTATCAGGTTCTCAGTGCCTGCTCTGAACACTCTGTCCCTGAAGTGTCCCCAGCAAAGGGGAAGGCAAAAGTTGAGCATTTGGTCAGCCTGAGTTCAGGGTAGACACCAGACTGTTTAGGGAGCCCAGCTGTCTTCTGGAGGAAGACTCTGAGTACTTCTGGAGGAAGCCACCAGACAGCCAGCAAGACTCCAAGACTCTCTGCCATCACTGTCAGGCCCTTAGTGTGTGATACCAAGCTAGGCCTCTGTCTCTATGTGACAGGAGGCTTTGGGTTGAGGTTTAGGGAGCTGGGGGCCCAGCAAGAAACAAGGGTGTTCCAGACACTCACCTGACATAGTACTTCTGCAGTAGACCCAGGTTCTCTTGGAACAGCCGCAGGTAGCTCTCCAAGGAATTCTCATTGAGAGCCAGGTAGAGCCAGGCGCGGCCTGCAGAGAAGGCAGGAGTAACTAGGCAGCCCAAGCGCCTTCAGGTCAGGCCTTAGCTTGTGGTCAGCCAGGAAAGTCAGCCAGAGCGCAGAAGGCACGGTGGTGATCGGGGGTCGGTGCTTTTTTGAGATATTCACGGACGCTGCCCGACCCTGCGGGCTAACACACTTCTATCTCATGCACTTGGTCTGGGACTCCAAAGGAATCCAGTGTTCTTGTGGCTCATGTTCCCCTTTACTTCATCAGTGACACACCCACAAACTGTCACATGCACAGGGAAAAAAATGAGGCTTTGTGGAAGGCGCTGGCATTTGAACCCCCACTGCCACTGGACACTACAAGGCAGATAGCTGCCTCAGGCTGACCTGGACTGGACCTGAGCCCCAAGCTCCCCACAGGGAGAGCACAGCAAATGCCCAGTGTTCTACTCACTGCGCCCCAAGTTGGTGGCCACATGCTGTAGCACCTCGATCTGCTTGATGGCCTCTCTGCGGGTGAAATGGACCACCAGCACCCAGTAGCCAGATGAGAGGTCTTGCAATCTGTAAGGACAGGACAGCAGCTGGGCCCAGGTAGGGCTGCTTCAGGCAACCAGGTACTCTCCTTCCGTCCCCACCCCAGGAGCTTTCCTGCAGCTTGTCTGAGCGATACAAGTCTCTTCTGGTAAGATGACAAAGGACAGAGGCAGACAAGAACAGGAATGTCTCTCTGGGGGGCATTGGGGTCTCCACACCTGGCTCCATCACCCCAAAGAGCAGCCTGCACTCACCCATACAGCAGAGCGTGGTCCAGGTGCTCACACAGACGTTGCAGGACCTTGTCATGGTTCCGGATAGCAGGGGTCTCATCCTCACACGCTGCAAAGTAGCTCTGCAGCTGAAAGAAAGAGAATAATGTTGATGAGGAGAGCTCCAGGCCTACGGCATCCTGCGATGGTCAGGAGAGTTGACTTCCACTGCCCTGCTGAGCGCTGATCTTGCCCAGGAGGTTCCAGAGGGCAAAGGCTCTCAGGAGGAACTTCATATAGACAGCCTTGTGCTGGTGAGGGATGTCCAGCTCGCACAAGTGTTGGGTGGTACTAAGCTTTGGGGCAGGGCCATAGGCTTCACTTGCTGCCTGAGTACCACACACCACACACAGTGGTATCTGTATAAGTCAACCATGCACAGGTACATACATACACACACACATACACACACACACACACACACACACACACACACACACACACACACACAACTATTTGGTAATGTCTGAAGGCATTTCAAAAAGACTCCTAATCAGCTTTTTTTTTTTTTTTTTTTTTTTTTTTTAAATCATTTATTTAATGTGTAGGCCTGCTTGGAGCTGTCCTCTGTACACACTGAGGTCGAACAGACCAGATCACCTGCTCTGATGGCCTTCCTGCCAAGGCTGACATGAGCATTGAATTTGCCTGAGGAACCTGGCCAGATCTAGGTGTGTGCCAGATTCATGTCAAGCCCTATGCCAAGAAAGACACTGTTCCCAGGGCTGGAAAGACAGACAGAAAAAGGGGAGGGGAAAGAAGGGGAGAGAGACAGAAAGAGAGGAAGGGGAGAAGATTGAGCTCCCAGATGAGGTGCCCTGGAGCACCCCCAGCCCACCAGGCTGATGGGGCGGCAGAGATTAGCCAAATGGGAGGGGGCGAGAAAGCTTGGATCCTCAGGCCGGGTTCTATGCCACCAGATCAGGACCCTCCGTTCCTGTCGCCTTTCCACTGGCCCAGATGGAAAGTGCAAGAAAAGAGCACAGACCCCGAGTACTGGGGCAGGTTAAGCTCCCGGGACAACCGTATTCTCAAGTGCTCTCTGGAAGCAGCGATGGAGGTGGCTACAGCAGCCGAGAGGGACCAGCCACACCAGGGAGCATGTGCTCCTGGAGGGAGGCCAACCATTCAACTCCCACAACAGAAATAGTCTCTCTTCTCTCCGACCCGGAGCAAGGCCAGCAGCCTGGCTGACCGGGGACAGAATTCGGTCCTGAAGGGTCTGCCCACCCGTCATGCAGGCAGAAGGAGCAGAGGCAGGAAAGCCTTCTAGAGCGGTCAGATGGACTAAATCCACAAGGCAGCAGCCTGCTGGCAATGGCTGAAGGCGTTTTGGGTTTTTGTTTTAAATGATCCCCAATTGGCTATTTAAAATTTTGTGTTATTTGCCGGGCGGTGGTGGCGCACGCCTTTAATCCCAGCACTCGGGAGGCAGAGGCAGGCGGATCTCTGTGAGTTCGAGGCCAGCCTGGGCTACCAAGTGAGTTCCAGGAAAAGGCGCAAAGCTACACAGAGAAACCCTGTCTCGAAAAACAAAAACAAAAACAAAAACAAAAAAAAAATTTTGTGTTATTTATTTACTGTATACGCCTGTTTTATCTACATGTATGTCTGTGCACCACATGCATGTCTGGAACCCAAGGTGGCCAGAAGAGGGCATCAGATGCTCTGAACTGCAGTTACAGATGGCTGTGAGCTGCCATGTGGGTGCTGGGAATTGAACCTGGGTCCTCTGCAAGAGCAGCCAGTGCTCTTAACCCCTTAGCTATCTCCCCAGTCCCTGAGGGCATTCTTGCACACTTTAGTGTTACATCACACTGTTACACCAGTGCCAAGTTGTGTTCTCTCCCTCTCTGACGAGGTCTCACTCTGTAGTTCAGGCTGGTCTCAAATTCATGGTCCTCCTGCCTCAGTCTCCCAAGTGCTGGGATTCCAGATGTGTGTCACCACACCTGGTCTGCTTGTCTTTAAAATTATTATTATCATCATCATCATCATCATTATTGACAGAGTCATCATCATTATTGACAGAGTCATCATCATCATCATCATCATCATCATCATCATCATTGACAGAGACTTAAGGTGTAGCCCTGGCTATCCTGGAACTCGCTCTGTAGACCAGGCTGTCTTGAACTCACAGAGATCCGCCTGCCTCTGGCTTCGGAGTGCTGGGATTAAATGCGTGTGTCACCACTGCCCGGCTTTTTGACTGATTTCTTACAATTCTTTATTGTTATTTACTGTTTGTTGTCTCAAGTGTCCTTTTTCCCCATTGAGAAAATATTCGTTTTTACAGTCAAATTTGTCAATAATTCCCTTTAAAGGTTCTCGAGTCCCCCCACTCTGTTATAAAAGTGTCCTTATCTTTTATACCTTTAGGGTTTTACTTTGTTTGTGTATGGATGCGTCACACATGTGTGGCATATGTAGTCACATACCTGTGTGCCTATGCTCTTGCACAGAGGCCAGAGGAGTGTTGTGTGTCCTCCTCTCCCACCCTCCACCCTGTTCCTCTCAGGCAGGGCCCCTCCCTGAACCCTGACCTCATGTTTTCAGGCTGGCAGCCAGCCAGCCCCAGCCATCCTCCTGCCTCCAATCCCAAGAGCAGTGGTGTTACAGGGGGGTGTGAGCCGTGCCCAGCTTTGTTAAGTGGGTACTGGGATCTGAAGCCAGGTCTTGTGGCTGCTCGGCTAGGTTCTCTTTCCAGCCCGCCCCCCATTTACCTTATTTATTTAGAGGTGCTAACAACTGGGTCCACGCTAAGCAAGGCACGGCTTTTGGAGATGCTTGGTCGCTGACCTCCCCACTCCTTCCTTTCGCCTTCTGGGTTCACTCTTTGAGCATAAAGTTAAGGACCACCTGTATTAGTTCTGGATGGGTGACCCATTTTCTCATGGCCCAGCCTCTTTCCATGTAATCCACAAGTCAATGTGCCCTTTCTAGACTATTCTGTATTGTTAGTCTGCTGACTGTTCCTGTATCAGTCCCCATTTTAACTATTTCCACTTTACTCAGCACTTGGATATGGGCAGAAGAAGTCTACCTAGCCCCTACCCAGCTACTCTTTTCCAAAATTATTAGTCCAGCCCCTTTTACACTTCATTTATTTATTGGGGGCATGCACGCACATGTCACGTGCCCATGGGGAGGACAGAGGACAGCTTGCAGGAGTCGGTTCTTTCCTTTCACTAATGGATCCAATCTGGGGATCAAACTCGGGTCATCAGGTTTGGTGACAAGCACTTTTACACACTCAGCCGCGTTGCTGACCCCAAGCCATTCCTTTACAATCCAAGTTCATCACCATTACATTTTGGTTTTTGTTGTTTGTTGTTGTTGTTTAGTTATTTTATGCTGGTCGGAAGTGGCAAAAGCCTTTAATCCCAGCACTTGGGAGGGGAGGCAGAAGTAGGAGGATCTCTGAGTTCGAGGCCAGCCTAGTCTACAGAGTGAGTTCCAGGACAGCCAGGGCTACACAGAGAAACCCTGTCTCAAAAAATCGAAAAAAAAAAATGTATGTGTATGGGTGTTTTGCCTGCATATATGTCAATTGAACAGACTTTTGTGAGCCACCACATGAGTGGTAGGAATTGAACCCAGGTCTCTGGAAGAGCAGCCAGTGCTCTTAACTGCTGAGCCATCTCTCCAGCCACGCCCCCCCCAATCTTGGATTTATAATAGAATTATGCTGAACGCAGAGACTGTTCACACCGAGAGATAGTGTCTCACAATATCTAGTCTCCCTTCCCAGGAACACAGGCTCCACTCCCATTTGCTCTTCTTTATACCCTCGGGACTCTGACAGCTGTCTTTAGGTATGTCTTGTACATGTCAAGGTGAGTTGTAAATCTACACATGATATCATGACTCAGAGAGCAATCTGCAACGCTTTAAAAAAAAAGCACCACAGCCAGTGAGATGGCTCAGCATCAAAGGTGCTTGCTACCGAGCCTGATGACCTGATTTCAATCCTTGGAACCCACAAGGTAGGCAGAGAGAACTGACTCTCATAAACTGTCCTCTGAACTCCAGACATGTGCCACAGCATGTGAACTCACACCCACACACATGCAAAATAAATAAAAATGTAATAGAAAACTTCTAGGAAGGCATACTGCAATGGTGCAGAGGGCTGAGGCAGGAAGCAAGAGTGTTCAGCCAGGCACTGGGCACAGCAACACCTCAGAAAGTTACTTCACTCTCCTACTCATTTTTTCTCCCTTTTAAAATGAACTAAAGGGACTTTTTGAAGCTGAACTGTCTGGCACAGTACCTGCCAGCCTTATGTGGTTGCATGAAGTTATAAATGAAACAGAAAGCAGCACCAGCCATATTTCAAGCGCTCAGCAGTCACCCAGGGCAAGCAGCTCTGGCCTGGACAGTTCAGACGCACGGCACTGCCACCATGGCAGGCTGTCCTGCTGGCTGCTGCTGCTGGTTTAGGGGATCGGGAGTAAACAGCACCCAAGAGGCTCAGCATAGTTGGTGAGCAGCAAGCGGCAAACGAACATTAGCTGAGATGATGAGCGACCACGAACCCGGATTCTGTTACACCAACAGCGTAGCATCCGGCAAAACACACACTTCTGCGTGTACACGCACCCTGCTTTCATTTCTGCTGCTGTGATAATTACCGTGACAAAAGTCAGCTTAGAAGAAAGCGTTTATCTTAGCTCACAATTCCAGGTGACAGACCTTCATGGTGGGGGAAACCAAGGCAGCAGGACTTGACACATCACATTCACAGACACAAGCAGAGAGAAATGAATGTGTGCGAGTTAGTGTGAGCTTAGTCCCCTCTTTATGCTTACATAGCTCAGGCCCCTGATTAAGGAATGGTGCTGCCCACAGTGGGCTGGCTCTTCCCACATCAATTAACGTTAACGAGACAATCCTCCAGATGTGCTGCCCACAGGCCAGCCTTGATCTAGAAAATCCCTTGTTGACACTCATTCTGGGTCGTTCCAGATTGTGTCACGTTGACAGTTAAAACAAACCATCACAGCATGTGTATGCACGCTGTATGTATGTGTATGCATATTTGTGTGTGTGCACGGGGAGAAAGGTAGAGATTGACAGTGAGGAT